ACTCTTCTAATCGCCCTGGTGTCTGGCGCGAAACGATTGTCTGCCGTTGCTTTCACGGAGGGAGGGGCGACTGACGATATGTACCCAAAACCACCCGGGACAATGTTTTTGCCCCATCGGGCATTGGGAGCTTAACCCAGCGGAGACTGCGGGAACTGCGGGATAGCTACCCACAGCGCAACGCTCCGTAGGTCGATGCTAGCCACGGTAGTGAGAAGGCACTCCACTGACTTAGTGCCCTTAGTATGGACATATGCAATCAACTGTATAAAATCTATTTCTAAAAATTGACTTCTATAAAATCAACCTAATTTCATAATGTAGACATACCCTAAGGTGCCACAAGGACTCCTCATTGTTTTTGCTGAAACAGATTAACACGGCTACCACTCTGAAAGCTGTCACCATATATATGTGAATACACAAAAAACATAAATATAGTCTCCCCATATGTCTTTAAGGGTTGAATTTGAGTCATTCATCCTGCAGGATGTTTAACCCTTGCTGGTCAGGCGTCAAAATATCCGATACCAACCTTCCGTTCTCCTATCACATTCTGACTCCTTTATGGAGATCCTATACACATAGAGTAATCAACCCTTGTCCTAACAGAACCTATATCCTCTACTCCTACAATATTTCCATCATATCTTCCTACATCACAAACACCTGATATTGAAAAAGAAAAAAAAACACAAACAAAAAATAGCCATAGTGTAGTCCAGTCAGTTCAGAATATGAGAGCTGTTAATCTTTCCACATATGTTCCAACTCCCAAGCAAATAAAAGGAAATTAATGTCAATGGGAGTAAACAATAGCCTGTGTCTATACCCAAGCATCAAAGAAACCACTTGTTGCTGTCTGGGGTGCAAGAGTGACAAAACTGAAGCTCGGATGAAGGGGTGGCCCTTCTCCCGCCATGCTTTTCAGTGGCAATACACAAATTAGGGAAGAAAGTGAGTGAAAAATCACTTTTCCCCCTTGTTTATTTTTGTTTTGTTTGTTTATTTTTGTTTATTCATCATTAGGTTTTGTTGTTGTTGTTGTTGTTGTTGTTTTGTTTTTTTTGTAATCTTTTCCAATAGTCTGCTGGAAACAAACTTAAAGGTGTAATGTAAGCAAATTTGACAGACCCATGCAGGGCAAGAATTGGTCAGTTTTGCTAGCTGTTCCCTCTGGAGGCTTGCACTACTAACAAAGCTCAGTTGCTATACCTCAGGGGGCCTTAAGAGCTAGTTCCATTCAAATCATCTGTTCCAGATTTCTTCAGCTTACTTCAGACAGACCTAAATCAAATTATTGGAGACCTTTGTCCCCAGAATTCGGAGCACAAATAACTGGCATGGGAAATGGATTATATATATTTTTCTTGATTAATAATTTTAACATATTTGTCTTCAACATCCATCTTCCCCATTTATCTCCTTCATCCATATCTCACATGTTTTGCTTCAGTTTTACAACCAATCTTCTAAAACACATCCTTACAGGCTCTTTTCTGGGTGATATTTGCCTTGATCATGCATTACAGAGCTTACATTTATCCCAGTCACTGATCAATTTTTTTTAGGGCTGTCAATTAATCACAGTTAACTCACGCGATTAACTCAAAACAATTAATTGCATTACTGTTAAACAGTAGAATACAAATTTAAATGTATTAAATATTTTTGAATGTTTTTCTACATTTTCAAATATTTCGATTTCTATTACAACACAGAATACAAAGTGTACAGTGCTCACTTTATATTATTATTTTTATTACAAATATTTGCAATGTAAAAATGATAAACAAAAGAAATAGTATTTTTCAATTCATCTCATACAAGTACTGTAGTGCAATCTCTTTTTCGTGAAAGTTTAACTTACAAATGTAGATTTGTTTTTGTTACACAACTGCACTCAAAAACAAAACAATGTAAAACTTTAAAGCCTACAAGTCCACTCAGTCCTACTTCTTATTCAGCCAATCGCTAAGACAAACAAGTTTGTTTTCATTTATGGGAGATACTGCTACCTGCTTCTTATTTACAATGTCACCTGAAATTGAGAACAGGTGTTCCCATGGCACTTTTGTAGCCGGCATTGCAAGGTATTTACGTGACAGATATACTAAACATTTGTATGCCCCTTCATGCTTCGGCCACCATTCCAGAGGACACGCTTCCATGCTGATGATGCTCGTTAAAAAAAATAATGCATTAATTAAATTTGTGACTGAACTCTTTGGGGGAGAATTGTATGTCTCCTGATCTGTTTTACCCACATTCTGCCATATATTTCATATTATAGCAGTCTCAGATGATGACCCAGCACATGTTCGTTTTAAGAACACTTCCATAGCAGTTTTGACAAAATGCAAAGAAGTTACCAATGTGAGATTTCTAAAAATAGCTACAGCACTAGACCCAAGGTTTAAGAATCTGAAGTGCGGTCCAAAATCTGAGAGGGACAAAGTGTGGAGCATGCTTTCAGAAGTTTTAAAAGAGCAACACTCAGATGTAGAAACTACAGAACCCAAACCACCAAAAAAAATCAACCTTCTGCTGGTGGCATCTGACTCAGATGATGAAAATGAACATGCGTCATCGGTCCGTTCTGCTTTGGATCGTTATCGAGCAGAACCCATCATCAGCATGGACACATATTCTCTGAAATGGTGATTGAAGCATGAAGGGACATGTGACTCTTTAGCACATCTGGCACGTAAATATCTTGAGACACTGGCTACAACAGTGCCATGAGAACACCTGTTCTCACTTTCAGGTGATATTGTAAACAAGAAGCCGGCAGCAATATCTCCTGCAAATGCAAACAAACTTGTTTGTCCGAGCGATTGGCTTAAGTAGGACTGAGTGGACTTGTAGTCTGTAAAGTTTTACATTGTTTTATTTTTGAGTGCAGTTATTTTTTGTACATAATTCTACATTTGTAAGTTAAACTTTCATGATAAAGAGATTGTACTATAGTACTTGTATTAGGTGAACTGAAAAATACTATTTCTTTTGCTTTTTACAATGCAAATATTTCTAAATAAAATAAATATAAAGTGAGCACTTAACACTTTGTATTCTGTGTTGTATTGAAATCAATATATTTGAAAATGTAGAAAACATCCACAAATATTTAAATAAATGGTATCCTATTATTGTTTAACAGCGCAATTAATCGCTATTAATTTTTTTTAATTGTGTGATTAATCACGATTACTTTTTTTAATCACTTGACAGCCCTAAATTTTTACATTCAAATAGAGCAGAATAAAATCAGGATTACATATGAAACAAAGAAGGTGAAGGTTTCACTATTTATCTTTACAGCTTCCATTTACTCTTTCTATCAATATCCTCTTTATAGTAAAATGATTTTCTTGCTTATACATTTTTTTAAAATAACAAAGGTGTTGTTTTAGGAAGTGATTAAAAGAGATAAATTACTTTTCTCACTTTAAATTGGCATTTCTTTAGGGTACATCTATTATTTCTAACTGTTTTAGAGCCCTATCCATAATATAATGTGAATGTGGTGAGGTGAACCTTACTTTTCTAAAACAATCAATGGACATTCTGCATAGTAGACATTTGCTTGTCACCAGTTACAACCTGGTCAAATATTATTCTGTATCTTTAAGTTTGTTTATTGTATTACCACATTTTCAAGATGGTTGCTGCCCAGTACTTTAGGAGCTGATTGTGGCCTACTTCTCACTGATTAAAATCAAGATAATCAAAAGCAACTTCTGGCTACTGTTACTGGAAAGTAAGAGAGGTTGCAATTCCTCACATTTTGTTGTGCCTGTATCATAGGATAGTGATAATTCAGCCATTGTTTTTTTAATTTTTAATTTACTCTGCCAAGAGTAGAGGTTCTGTTACATCTTGAGAAAAATGAATGACCAAACAAACACAAAACTAAATCACTTTTAATTACTGCCACAGAAAAGATTAAAGTTCTCTCAAGCATTTTTTTTCTCCTGAAAAGGGTGGCATATAACATGAAGACAAAATATAATACAGATAAAAGTAGATAACTTGAAAAATGAATTATTCAATTTATAAAAGCTAGTTTTGCATAGTACTGTAGTAAATTTACATAGAAAAATGGACTTTTTTCTTATTAATTATTAGTATTGCTATAAAATTGTTTCTGTCTTGCTATAAATCTTAATGAATGCTGATATAAAAGCATACATCTATCTTTTCTTTCAGACTAAAACAATGCATAAATTTCATTAGTTGTCAATTTTGCTAAAGTATTTAACGAAAAGAAGTTATTTTATTTTATTAGGAACAATTACTTCAGAGAGCATCAAAATGACCTTTCTGCTCCATTTGAACACCTAGCCAGATACAGTGAGACAATTACTTCCATATACATGTCTGGAAATTTAACATCATTCTACAAGTCTTTAATCAGATCCCTGTGGTACTGCATGGGGGTCTATTTCAGCAGAATTTAGTATTTTTAGGAGATAAAGGATTTGGATAAGGGAGGCAGTTCTTAATCCATACTCCCAGTTCAGGAATGAGATTGTGTTACTTCCTTCTTTTCAAAATCAATTTATATTGACAACATACATTCAAACAACTGGCTTTATACCCTGAATTGGAGAAAACCCTCTAAAGAACAACATTTCATTGTAGTTGTGGTTTTATTACCAACGGTAAAGTTTTAATTTACAGCGAAAAACAAAAGTTTCCCTCTTCAGAGGTCTCTCCAGCTCTAAGTATCAGGGTTTATTGGTTCTTCTTTACCTCATCTTTATTCTCTCGGACAAGAAACTCTACTGAATGAAAATACCCTCTTTCACCTTCACCCAGCTAAGAAATAAGGTAATTTGATGATAGATATGTTGCAAAAAACACACTTTTTTAACTCCGAAGAAACACAAACAGAGAGGAGAAAAGAGCTCTTTTTGGCTTGCAGTTGGGCGGGCTCTTTAACGTACCAATCACAGATCAGCTCTTCTCTATAAATTCAGGCATCTGACCTACTCTCTCCAGCCCGATTACTTTTGATTTGCTGAAAACGTTTGTCAGCATGTCGGAAACTGCGCCTGTTGCAGCTCCTGCTGTCTCAGCTCCTGGGGCAAAAACCTCCGCTAAAAAGCCGAAGAAGACAGCAGCTAGTGCTAAAGCCCGTAAGCCTCCAGGTCCCAGCGTGACCGAGCTGATCACCAAGGCGGTGTCCGCTTCCAAAGAGCGTAAAGGGCTCTCCTTAGCCGCTCTGAAGAAGGTTCTGGCCGCCGGAGGGTACGATGTGGAGAAAAACAACAGCCGCATCAAGGTAGGATTAAAGAGCCTGGTGAGCAAAGGCATTTTGGTGCAGACAAAAGGTACCGGTGCTTCTGGTTCTTTCAAACTCAACAAGAAGCCTGGTGAGATTAAGGAGAAAGCACCGAAGAAAAAGCCAGCAGCAAAGCCTAAGAAACCAGCTGCCAAGAAGCCCGCCAGCGCCGCCAAGAAACCCAAAAAGGCTGCGGTGGCGAAAAAGAGCCCGAAAAAAGTCAAGAAACCAGCAGCTTCCGCAGTCAAGAAAGCGGCCAAGAGCCCGAAAAAAGTGAAAGCCGCCAAGCCCAAGAAGGCAGCTAAGAGCCCGGCTAAGGCGGTGAAACCAAAAGCCGCCAAGCCCAAGCCAACAAAGGCCAAAACAGCGAAGGCGAAGAGGGCAGCGCCCAAAAAATAAAGTGTAAATTTGAAAAGGAAATTTCTGACCCAACGGCTCTTTTAAGAGCCACCCCCAAGTTTCAGAAAAAGAGCAAAATCGCTGACACTCGGAAATTTCATAGGTGGTTGGAAAGTATCCTGAGTACTCGCTTTGTTACATAAGTTGGGTACAGGGAGTGTATGTAATGCTCGCGCTTTCTGGTGTACCCTTGGGGATGGCTTCCTGGGCAGTTTTAATTAAAAAAGATTATAGACAGAGAAGACGGTTGTAGCGCCGGGCAGCTATCGATAAAACCCCCTTACGGTGGCGCTGTTCTAGGTACCTATGAGTCAGCTGGTTAGGGGCGGGGTCCTTGGCTCCCTGTAGATTTCTAGACTAGTGTTTCGTTCTAACCATTTCGACCAATACTGACAAAATAAGAAACCGAAAACTACGAACTTTCTCCGTCCTGTTTGGCTATCTCCTCCTTATTGGCTGATAGTTCATATATGGCTAAATCTTATTGGATACATCCAAATTTTTGAAAACCCCGCGCGCTCAGAGAAGAGCGCCCTTCCCTTTCTCTGATTTGATTGATCACAAAAACTCGTCACCAATGACCCCCGATCCTTTAAATGCTCGCTCCCTGAAGGATCCTGATTTTCCTATTTCCAACCCCATCCCCCTAAAGCATCCGTCTTTCAAATACTTTCCACCAACTACTAGAGACAAGGTGGGTGAGAATATCTTTAAGCTTGTCTCTCTCACCAGTAGAACTTGATACAACATAAGATGTCTGACCCACCTTGTCGCTAATATCCTGGGACAGACACGGCTACAAAACTGCATTTCCTATCCCAACTACATAGTTATTGCCCGATTACTGAAATCTATTTTTCTCTTTTCTCTATCACACAGTATATAAATATTGTACTTGTCTCACTGTTTCATGTTCAGACTGACCCATTTATGACTTCTGAACACTAGTCCCAGAGAACGGGCATGGAGGTAGACCAGTTTTTTTAATGTATTCATATTTCCATTCTTGTATTAATTCGGAATGATTTAAAGGGGAGAGTGAGCTAAAAACTCCTTTCCCCTCGGATTGATTGGGTATGTAATCCAGAACCCATCAATTCTTCTCTTTATTTAACGTGTAGATTAAGGACAGATGGAGAATGTACCTGGATTCATTTACAATACTTCCATAAACTGTTTCCTCGTATTTTTCTTATTTCACAATACAAATGTATCCTAGGTTTACTGTTTGGGATTACATAATTTCTTTGATATTGATGCAAACCTTGCCAGCTAAAAAAAGTATTTCAAGTGCCACGCAATAGTTCATCAAAAGTTTTGAGTTAATTTTCATTTATGGGAAGTCCTTGGTCAGGCAAACATTGAGTTAATCAACGCAAAACCGACAGAAAAGTAGTAAGGAGCATTTATATGGATACTGAATGCACACACTCAACTAGAAGATAAGAGAAAACAGTAACAAAGGATATATATATATAACACTTTTACTTTCATCATTTAAGTATTCGTATACAGTAAACTTCAATTTTACTTCTTGTATTTATGTGGCTTTTGGTTCCTCAATAGGGCAAATACATTTCCAGCATCAATCAATAACTAACATCCATACTAAAAATACAGAATAGAGTACGTGTGTCAAAACAACACCATGCATGGTTTAGTGTTAAAGCTCTTTTACAGAATAGGTGGGCGGCTCTGAAAAGAGCCTTTGGGTTACAGATGTTAGCATTCGTTCCATAGATCTTTACTTAGAACTGGTGTACTTGGTAACAGCCTTTGTACCCTCAGACACCGCGTGTTTGGCTAACTCCCCGGGGAGCAGAAGGCGCACAGCGGTCTGGATCTCCCGAGAAGTGATGGTCGAGCGCTTGTTGTAATGCGCCAGACGAGACGCTTCCCCCGCAATACGTTCAAAAATGTCATTTACAAAGGAGTTCATAATCCCCATGGCTTTAGAAGAAATGCCGGTGTCCGGATGAACTTGCTTCAATACTTTGTACACGTAAATTGAATAACTTTCCTTCCTTGTTTTTCTACGTTTCTTATCCCCCTTCTTCTGGGTCTTGGTCACGGCCTTCTTAGAACCCTTCTTGGGAGCCGGAGCAGATTTCGCCGGCTCAGGCATTTTAATAGCTAACTGTACTCTCTCTCACAACCACAACTACAACGAAATCAAAGAAAGGCTTTCCTCCCTCTATTTATAGGTTTGCTATGCAAATGAGCAGCCTATGTTTTCTCGTTTTCTATTGGCAGTTAGATTAAACATAGGGCAACGCGTTTTATGCTGCAATTGGTCAACGTGAGATCCTCGTCTTCATTGGTTGCTCAGACAGTGACATTTTTCAACCAATCATGATTCACTAATCAGTCCAGGAGAGGGGATAAAAGGGCAAGAGTCGTTGCGTCATTATGTTTTTCCTATCTGTGTTTCTGTGAACGGTGGTGTCTGTGGTGAAGAATTGCAATGTCGGGCCGAGGAAAACAAGGAGGCAAAGTGAGAGCTAAGGCAAAGTCTCGGTCATCTCGGGCTGGCTTGCAGTTCCCGGTGGGCCGTGTTCATCGGCTTCTCCGGAAGGGTAATTATGCTGAGCGAGTTGGCGCTGGAGCCCCTGTATATATGGCTGCTGTCTTAGAATATCTGACTGCTGAGATTCTCGAGTTGGCTGGTAACGCTGCTCGCGATAACAAAAAAACCAGGATCATTCCTCGCCATTTGCAGCTCGCCATCCGTAACGACGAGGAGCTCAACAAACTACTAGGGAAAGTCACGATTGCTCAAGGGGGTGTTCTGCCCAACATCCAGGCTGTGCTGCTGCCTAAGAAAACCGAAAGTCATAAAGCCAAGAGCAAGTAAAACTAATCTAGGAAAAACGAGAGATCCGACTCTGCTTAAAATTAAAGAAAAAAAAATAACCCAAAGGCTCTTTTCAGAGCCACCCACAGGATCAGAAAAGAGCTAAATTATTGTCTTACGGATTTAACAAAGTGAGTACGCTTTGTGTTTTAAAATCAATCATTTCGCAGCAGTTTTTCTCCTAGGGTTCCCCATGTTCTGCCTTAAGTAATCAATCTTTCGAATTACCAGTAACTGTATTGCAATGAATTTCTAGGTGTTATTGATATAATTTTGTAATTTAGTGTATGCCTCGTTCGTAGTTCAAGATGCAATATATGGAAACTAAAAATAGCCGAAATGAGGTTTTACGATTTATGTTCCGTATTTAACCCATCTCCCCAGTCCTTTTATTGTGGTCTGGTCGTTCTGCCTGTCTTAAAACAAATGTATCAGCTTGAAGGTCACTCTGACAAAGGATCTTTAGAGACGTGAATGAATTTAGAGGATTGGCTGAAACACAAGCACAACAAGAGGTGGATGTACAATAAAAAGGACGAAAAGTATCAAGATACATGTATTACATAAAAACTGAACAGCATTCATAGATCTCCTTCTCTTTATGTGTGTGCTCTGATTTAAGGGAATAAAGCTTTCCTGCGATTTAATTTAGATTGGTTTGGAAATGAACTAATGAAATCTAGAGGTGGGGTGTGTTAAACCAAACTAGCTTCTCAAATTACCGGGTCTGGGCGATGAAGCGTTGAATTTAGAGAAAACCCCCTAGAAGAAATGAGTGGCCACGGGCCGCACTGATCAATTGCTGCACTGGGCGGGCTTTTCAAACCCGCCAGCCGTTTTCATTTCGTTGCTACTCAGCTGCGTTTTGTATTTTTTCCTTCTCTCTCTTCTCCCTCGTTCCTCCCAATCACCAGCGGCGCTTCCCATTTTCCTCATTCTCTCCTTTCACCTTCTGTACTGAAGAGATTGAGGCGCTCCAAAGAGTACGCCCTGCAGAACTGAGTTAAGAGGCTATCAGAGTTTTAGTAGATTCCCAGCTCACATGTACTGAGCGCTGCTGTTTCGGTGTCGTAGAGTGCCGAAGTTGCCATGAGGGCGACAGGTGGTGGTGGGGATCCTCGTTTTATGAGGAGCACAGAGTCCCATAATGAGCCAATACATCGGTATTTTCTGCATCGATTCCCCGCCTATACCATGGCTGCAATCCCGAAGGATCAAAGTTCCTCCCTCAGCCCAAGTGAGCCAAAGCACCAGCTATGGGGGAACTGCTCAAGTGCCTATAACTCCATCTCTAGCCATCTCCCCCACAATCCATTTTATAATTTATCTCCAGCATGTTTAATGCACTTTACTGCATCGACTCCCTGCAGAGCAGGGATGAAGGATAACTAGCTTATCTATGCTCCAGGGGGGTAAGCAACGTTGATAGGAGAGAGCTTGGAACTCTGGGGTTGTGCAGGTAGCTTGTAGCAGTGATATTGTGGGTGGGGAGTGCTATTCATACCTCCTCGTTTCAAAGCCTCCCGCTTTTATATCTCAAGCTCCAAATAAATGTGTTCATCCTCCCAAAATGTAGCCTTGATGTGAAATACAAACTTCCTGCTGCCATGCAACAGCTCTCTCTCCAGGCTGAGGTAAAGCATCTTTCCTTTGAGTCCCATTACAATTAGAATGCTCCTTATTCAGTGCTAGGCCATCAGTTTATTACACTCAGATTTACCAATTGGACCTCTACAGTCACAAAGCGAACCTTTGGCAATAGGTTGGGTAGGTGTGTTGTGGATTAGATAGGATTTCTGTGATTTATTTAAATAACCTTTATTTCTCTTGTTTTGACACGGTAACAGTAACTTGTGTTTGGGGTATTGTTTCCAAGAACTTAGTTTTACTTTTACACCACACTTTTGTAAGCAACCTATCTTCTTTTGTGTGTGTTAAAAATATTTTAACTACATGTGTTAATTGTATATTTATAGTTTTTTTAAAGGGAACAATTCTGGCTTTATTTTTGAAGGTTGTCTATTTTAAGACCAAACATCCCAAACACATAGAAAAGAAGAGCAGAATATAGGAAAATGCATCTTTTCTCGCTGATGCTTTCGGTTTAGTTACAATGAAGTGTTGCAGAGCTACATTTTTTCTGGTTGGCTGAAATGGACTCTTTTTGGGAGGTGGGTGAGACTAGAGGTAGGAGGCAGACATTATTTCACTGTCACTGGTCCAATTACCCTCTTGGTTCCAAGATGACACCTTATATAGGCTTTGAGTCATTGGCTCTTGTTATACCTTTGCCTGCTAGATTTAAGAGCCCTCTACTATAAACTAAACTAAAACAAAACAAACAAAAACTCTCCAGGTCAGTGCTTGGAGACTGTGAACAGAACACCCTTACTCTTCTCTTGTATAAGCTAAACAGAATGAATTTCTTAAGTGTCTTTGTAAGGTAGATGTTCCAGGCTTCAATTCATTCTTGGAGTTCTCTGAAACCTGTCCAAATTTTTCAACATCCTTTTTGGAGCATGGACACTAGAACTAGACAAAGAATTACTATAATGGTATCACCAAAGCCACATAAAGAAGTAATATCACCCTAATTATACATCTAAGGTTTGTGTTAGAACTCTTAGCAACAGCATTGCACTCAGAGCTCCTGTTTAATTGGCTACCTACCTTTTTCAGAGTCACTGTTTTCCAGGACAGAGTCAACCAGCCTGTAAGTGTGTCCTACATTCTTTGTCCCTAGGTGTATAACCTTGCACTTAGGTTTATTAAAATATATAATGTGCTGATGATCGTGATGGTGATGCTAGTAATACCCACTGCCACACATAACCAAGTTGACAAGTACTCCCAGAAAACTAGTGTCCAAAAAAACCATGGCAATGTTTTCTCAATAAAAACAATTATCTGTATGTGCATATTTATTGTCATCATAAGAACATTTTGCTCTGTTATGTTAACAATTCTCTTATCTCAGCAGAAATCTTAACATGCGCAACTTGGTGGACTTCTGAGTGGTGTGTTTTTGGGAGGTGCCTTCATTGTTTAGATAGAAGGAAGGCTTTTAGCAGCCTTATGTGTATCAACCTCTCATTTTTCTATTTCAGTAACCTTTCCTTAGTTCCTCCTGAGCCACTGACACATCAGGCAATCCAGTTCTTCCACTGATTATGGACATTCATTAATTGTGTAGTGTCTTCCTCAACCATCTGTAATTGGCAGCTTCTAATCTCTTTTTGTTAGTCACTGTCATCTTCCAAATCTTTGCTCTTCACAATACTGTGTTCAGTACAACCACATAGTATAGTCTGATCTTTAGTTTGGTATGGAGACCTCTGTTTGCCCAGATGTTGTTCATCCTTCCAAAGGTGGTATTTACTTTTCCTAATCTTGTATGAATATCTTTATGGCAGCCACCTTCAAATATAATCACATCCCCTGCTAGCCAAGACTCTTCTATCTGATCAACTTCTTTCCCATTCATGTACACCTTTGCTTCTGTTAAGATCATGAAGGTAGGAAACCAGACAACTGTGCAAAGGTGTATATGGATGACAAGGAGATTGTAGTTGAAGCAGTGTCTAAGTCTGTGAAACTGGGTTATAGTTTCATGATCTGTGGCAAAGTTAGGTATGTTAGGTCACCCAGAATCACTGTTGGTATAGAGTCAGCCTTAATGGTAAGGTAGTAGGGTGAGAAGAGTGTCCTTCACTGTCTGCTCAGTGCGTGTGTGTGTGTGTGTGTGTGTGTGTGTGTGTGTGTGTGTGTGTAGGTAGGTGTGGTGGTGGTGTGTGTGTAGTAGTAGTGTG